ATGTCGCCACCAGACAATACATAATACATACGACAAGCAAAACACGAATTAAAATACAGAGATTGAATACAATAGTTAATCAATGAACAACTTGGAAAACAGCTGATGCAAGCTAAATGGGGCTACCCAGCCGTCTAGATCTTATGATGAAATAAATAAATAAATATTTGAATGTTGTACATTGTCAGGTTTTCAGCAGGACTGGCAACTTTCTTCGCCTGTTTCCCGCCGTTGTACCGGGTGGAAAGGGAACCACTTACGGGTTCCAGCCTTACGGCGCTGCTGTAGACCGAGAAGGCAACATTTGGGTAGTGGGCCGAGGCGCAGGTAAGGCCTTGGGAAAATATTCTTTCTTCTCTTCTCAGCAGCTGGAAGGAGGCATCTTCAGGGCTCGAAGTTAATGGTGTCCCAATGGCTACTGACCATTGCAATTTAGACCGGGACAACTGAAAAGTCTAATTTGGGATACTTTTGGGACAACAGAAAAATAATACAACATCAGAATGTCTGAGCCTTCTTTAGTTGTTTATGCACGCTTCCTGGCTTTTGGCTCCGGAAAAGCCCCCCCCCCCAAAGTTGATACTAATAAATTGATATCACACAGATAAGGAAAAAATGATGATAGTAAAAAAATGCCTTCCTAACAGACGATGAGCCTATCCCAAAGGAGAAGAGACACTTACGTGTGGTGCAGTACAACAAGACTGGCGAACCCAAAACCACATTCACCATCCCCCGCTGGGCCAGCAAACCTAGCATCGCCCTGGATCTGCGCAACAACAGAATCATCGTGGGGGCTGACATACACATTTTCATCTACCAACGAGACGGCTCCCGGTTCAGAAACTTCAGGGCAGGACCGAAGCAGGCGTTTTCTTACGTCGCAACCGACCAGGAAGGCAAGTTATCATGAAAGTTCAACTTGGTAGTTACATGTTTAAAGTTAAAACTTTTGGTCCAACACAAAAAAAATCTCTCTCCTAGAGCTTTCGACCAGTCACTCTGGTCTTCCTCAGTAGACTGACCCAGTGAAGCTTGTCACGTGGCTTCTTTATGTGTGACGTCAACACTGGGTCAAAGGAATCTGGTAGACGATGTCGGCCCCCGAAGTTGTAAAATTGAGTCTCCAACTCTTACCTCTGCTGAGTATTTGTGTGTTAACTTGTCTTACTCTCTTTTAATGTATATCTATATCACTATTGGATAGTATGAGTAAAATATTCTTAAAATGAATTGTCACATGGCAGTCAATCTGTTAATGCTAAATTCAGGATGCACTCATGCGATATTGTTTTTATGTTTACCGAAAGAAAACATATTGTTTTTGCTCTGTTTCTTCCTCTTCTCCAAAGTGACCAATGACCTGACCAATGACATGATTTGTTGACGTCTGTCACCATGGTGACCAGTGTTGGGTTACATAATGTTGCAATTTCATGGTCTGCTCTGCTCCTGTCACCATATACTCGTAGTACATGTATGTAAATGTGTTTGAACAAGAATTAACAGAGCAGATCATGTCCGAAGGTGAACATTATGCACTTGCTTTGCAAATGTTACTTCTCTATTAGTAAATGAAATTGTTGTTGTTCTTTTAAGGCAACATCTTTCTAACGGATCGTAAAGGTGCCTATGTCTACGTGTACGATACCACTGGGCGGTTCAGCTTTAGTTTCGGAGGCTGGGGACGCGGGGAAGGCAAGTTCAAGGGTCCCAGTGGCATCTGTGTCGACAGGTCCAGCCGCCATTCCAATGTTCTTGTGGCAGACTGGATCAACGACAAGATTTCCCTGTTCTCGGCTCGCGATCTCGGGAAGTTTGTCCGCACAGTGGCAGAGGTGCCGAACCCGGGAGGTCTGGCCCTGGGACCCGGCGGGCTGTTGGTGGTCACCAACACACAACAGGACACGGTGACGATTTTTCACAACATCTCTCTTGGGCCGTCTCGTCCTGCCCACCACTATGGCCTTACATGAATCAGCTGAAAACCTGAAGGTAGAAATGAAGGATAGGAAGAGATAGAGAGTGATTCATTGGGAAGCTCGACCCAGTGAGTGAGTGAATCAGCTGCTCTTTTGCCCACACTGTGACCACCAGAGGAAACACAACATTTTTCCACCGAGCATTATTTTTTTTGCGATTCGACATGGATAATACAGGACACGGTGGTGAGGTACTCTAGCTATAGCTAATTTTAACCTCACCACCAGAAATACAGCGACAAAATACATGACAAAAACAACAGGGAACAGCAAATGGGTGGAAATGGCAACACGGTGATTATGGTAATGAATAATAATGAATGGTAAGGAAGAACATATTTTGTAGGCGTTTACCTTCTCCATTGTTGCTTGCAAAGCCACCACGGCTGCCTCTTTTAAGAGAAAGCTCTGACACTGTCTCTTACAATCTTTACACACTGACCCTGACCTCTACACACGGATTCCATCTTGGATCTTTTTGTACAGAATTCCAAATTCAAATAGACTGAAGTTATGTACTGTTTTAATAGTTGTTCATATTGTATGACTTGTCCTTGTCAGCAGGGCAAGCCCTTTGTAATAGCCACAGGCTAGTTGGGCTGCCCTAGCTGTTAGGGTTGAACAGCCAATAAATAAATAAATTAACACACTGTGACCGGCAATTATGTGTCAGAATAGGACACTACAGCAACATTCGACTGTAGATGAATGACATGAATCAATTTTACTGAATGAATGAAGCTTTAGATTTATCTACATATGTATTCTTCAGCAAAAATCCATGCATAATATCAAGTCAATGGGAGAAGAGCAAGGATAGCACGTTTGTGTTTTAACACTACCTGTTTTATGTGCGAATAGAGAAAAAATACGTGTTGTGCTTTATATAGTCATGTTTATGAGCCCGTGAGGATTTTACTTATGTAAGACACCAGAAAAAAAATAGATTGCACGTAAATCAAAACAGCAGAGTTAGACACAGACAAAACTGAACACAAGTTTTAGCTTACTTGTGAAGACAAATATTTTTATGTATTTTCTGTGGAGCGAGTAGTTTTCAAATCCTGCGAAGTTCAGATCCTGGGTTGATTCTTCAGTAGTTTCCTTGCCTTACAGAACTGAATCTAACGTATAAACCTTTCTAATATTGTGAAATGCTGGTTTTAAATCATAGTATGTATTGAAGTTTTTGAATGTGTTAGTAGAATGTTATGATATAGTTTCTTTTATTTCAATGGTCATTGTCATAAGATATACTGTAATTCCAGGGTATAATTTTTTTTAAGTGCTGTGGAACACTGGTTTCAAATAATTGTGTGCAGTAATTTGTTTTAATGTGTTACGAGCGTGTTAGAATTTTGTCTTTGCATTATAATAACATATCTTTATTCAAGTGAAAAAAAGTGATTATCATATTACTTAGCATTACTTTTTTTTTCAAATATTTTGTGTTGTTGCCTTGTCCAGAGGATTAAGATGATTTGGCCCATGTTCGGCAGATATAGTGGTGAATTAAAAATATTTTTAATTAAAGTATCAGAGCACTTGTTTACATAAATAACTGTTAAATCATTGCGATCTCAAAGCTACAGTTAGATTCCTGTATGTAGTTCTAGCGACGACACTAGTGTGGTACAAAATGTAACATTGTTGCAAGCTGGTTGTCGCTACTGCCTGTTGCCGCTACCTGCACTTCTTGAAAGCACGAAATAAAAAATGTTAACTGTGATACCATTGCCTGTCACTTCAATATTCCTTACAAAGTTCTACTTTAAAGTTTGGGTGTTTTTTGCGGTCTCACATTAGATTTAGAGCCTGCAGAAGATCATCCATAAAATTACTTGCCGAGCCGTTGAAGTTTTCATAATTTAATTGATGAGAATTAGATTTAATACGAACAAGGAGGATGAAAGCTCCTTGATACGAAGCAACACTAGATAAGAAACACTTGACAAGGCCAATAAACACACTGATATTCTATATACCAATACATTTATACATTGTCATTGGTGTGAACCATGTTTACAAATCTTCCAAGATTTTGGCACAATACACATGATATAGTACATACAACTTACAAATTTCACCAAGCCGGTATACACTTAGACTGTATAATGATAGAAATAATGAGATGGGTACTGTTTGTACACATGTTTGTTGTAAATGGTTTCCGGTGGTACAAAATACAAATTACCAATGTTAGACACATCATTGTTTATGTTTGGTCACTAACACTTCTAGTTCTACCTCTTTTATCTGGGATTTCAGTTTAATTTTTTGTTTGTGACTTCAAATATTGGAACTTCACTTTATGATCGATTTCTACATGTTCCAGCCATCATCCTGGCATCTTTGTCTTCATTCAACTCGTCTACCTCTTTTTCCTACATTAGATCTTAATATTTCTAAATGTTTGATTTAAAAATCAAGTATTCCGCACTTTGTGAGAAAATATTCTGACAGAAAACAGAGATTGAGAATTGTTTTGGCGATTTTTCAGCCCCCCCCCCCCAAAAAAAAAGTTGTTAGTATAAAATTTCAGGTAATATCTGTAGGCAGACGGAATTGTGAAATATCAGTAATAATAATATTAATATCTTCGTCTCTTTTTGATATGTTTGAAAACGCTCTGAGGATGAATCATCAGATGTGACCCACAAAACATCATTTGACCGGTCGGGCCACGGTACCGACTTTGACCCATTACTGTAGTCACGTGTCCATGATATCAAGTTCTTCATGTGGTGTATCATTCACCCTCACGATGATCAGAGTGGTTCTTAAGTTGATGAGTTATTTGGCACTCTGTGAAAGTTTACGACATAGACATTCACTAACACAGATGTTCACGAACACTTGTTGTCACGTGGACATCACACTCTTGTCACGCGAATATCACGCTATGGTCACGTGAACATCACGCTATCGTCACGTGAACATCATGCTGTTATCACGTGGACATCACGCTATTGCCACGTGGACATCACGCTATTGCCACGTGGACATCACGCTGTTGCCACGTGGACATCACGCTGTCGTCACGTGGTCATTTCCACACTGTTCAGTCTGAGGAGACTGGGGTTCCTCCTGAAGCCCTCTACAAATTCCCTCATCTGTAGCTGCCCGTCCCTGTCCTCGTCTAGTGCCTGAAAAATCTGCTCGGTCATCATCTCCAGGTGGGACTCCGCCCTCCGGATCTCATCGGGGTCATCGGGGTCAAACCTCCGGGTCAACTGCAGCTCGTACATCAGCTGCAGGGGCAAAGGTCAAGGTCAAATGAGTCGAGCAATGTTAAAGATGATTACTGATTTTTTTTCACTGTACTTTTATGTTCATTGTTTTCACTGTCGTTCTCTACAGTGAAGTTATCATAATGATTACAGTTAACAAATAGTTCCGTGAACATGGCCATTTTTCAACCAGGCCAGCTATGTTGTCTATATGCAATCAGAAGATAGCATATAAAAGCTCCTAAAGACCCTGAAGACCCCCCCCCCCAAAAAAAACAGTTTTTGGCGTGCTATGGAGGCTAACATGAACTGAAAAAAAGAACAGCGATACATAGAAAATACAAGATAAATTCATCCGTTTTTAAATTAAACACAAAGGATTTGAACACAGATGTATGTATTCACGCATGGAACTAAATGTACTGCCACATGAGGGTTCTGTCGTGACACAGGACGATGTTTTGATTCTCTCAAAGTGTCCAAAGGGACTCATCATAGAGACAAGATCTATATCCCTTTCTTGTAACATCTAGTTTTTCCCATTATCAAACTCCTAAAAGCCCTATTACTTCACCAAACCAATGCACATGAGAATTATTATGTGTGCACAAATCGACTTGTCAATTGATTTCCAGGATGGATATGTATTACTTTTAAAATCAAGTTTCACAAATAATTTTTTTTTATCTTAAAAGAAGAAAATGCGCTGCAGTCTTGAATCTGATGTTGACTTCTAACTTTATTTCTATTGTACAGCAATTGTACAATTGTAAAGTACAGTAAAAGTAAAGTTGCTGGACTTCCCTGTAAATTTTGTGACGCCTTTAACACTCAAAATTATGTTGTGTTAAACAAAATTGAGATGATGGAGAAATATCCATCCTGACTAGAACAGTGAGTTCCAACCTATATTTCTACAGTTATCCATCATCCGCTATTGGAGTCTTTTTTAATCACCTCACAGAGATAGATTTGATACCTAGGGCGTTATAGGATCTTATAGCGGCGTGCGTACCATTATAGGAGGCCCGGAGCGAAATTTCTGCGGGATCTAGGTCGCATTTTCCGATAAAGAATGCTTCTCTGTCTGGTGAATCGCATCGTCTTCATTTGTTTGACGTCATTTGTGTTTATCTGTCACTTCTAATGAGGTCATCGACCTACTTTGTCAGGGAGGATGGGGTCATCAGAGGTTAGATTAATTACTGTAAGTCCTAATTTTTTCATAGTACTGTTATGTTCACTATTTTCACTGTTACCTCTGTACCGTGAACTTATCATTACAGTTAACAAGTAATTCTTGGACGTTCTTTTTCCTGCACCTGTCGCCACCGTGAATATATAGTTTCGTGAACCTGTCCATTTTTCTCAGACCGTGAACATAAAGTGAATTACAGTAGTTTGACATTACGACAGCAATTCGCACGCAATAAACACCATTGCCTCTATTTAGTTATTTGCTGAAAAATGCAATAATACATTAATGTATGAATGCATGCAATTAAAGAAAGAGGTTTGCACTGGTGGACAGCAAATTCATTTCGGCCCAAATCCCAGGATGCCACAAACATATATATCTAAATATATATTTGTTTTATATATGCTTTAGCTCAAAACTAACATACGACGTGGTGTATGTGATTATGCTAACAAACTACACGGTCGAACTTCTACAATACGCCAGGGTTTATCTTAGCGTGTTGGATGGTTATTTTCTTCGTGCTGTCATGTTGATGGTAACTTCACTCAGAAAATACTGCACCAGGCAAGCCTTAGTTTTGACAGTTTCCCCCGTTGTTTACCGAACAAGGTCGGAGGTTCCCAATATCTAGCTACAGCCTGGAGACACGCATCTGTCTAGTCGTGCATTACGGTAACTTTTCTTCGCATTCCCAGCTTTGGGTGGATCAGGTAGCCTTGATGTGACGGGCAAAACGTATGAGATGCCACCCACACAAACACATTTGGAGGCCTGCAAGCCCTTTTTCGTAAGGCGTAATCAGGCCTTTTTAGACTTCGTAATTCGTAGGTAGCCTGCCCCAAAATCAACGTAATTCCTAATAGGATATTAGCAGCAAATCGTAAAGTCGTATTAAATCAGCTCTGAGACTTTAACGTAATTCGTAATCGGCGGCGAAAATTTTGCGTAATTCGTAATCACTACCCTCCATCCAGGCCTCAAACATATCTGTGTGGCCTAAAGATCCTCCTTTGCCACCGCAGCCAAGGTTCTAAGGAAAGGAATAACCATTAGCTTAAAAACAACGCCATCTCAAGGCGCCTTCCGTGCACAAAATGGGGTGGAAATGTACAAACCCAATCTGTCTCTGCCGAAAGTTTGCGGGCGGATTCGTCCCAGGACGATTTATTCTGGTCCCCTCTACTCTAAGGAATGTGGTGACGAATGGATTCTGCTAACTCCTGCTTTGATTCTGTGCGTCTGGGAGCGTTTGTAAAATGGACCGTCGTGCCTGGAGAATACATGTACATGCTCCCGCCCTTGAGTTCAGGTGAAGAAACCCCATTAGTGCTTAGACGCAAAAATGTTTCTCTGGCAGAAATGTTTTGGGTCATTCGTGGGTCATAGACGGATGACTAAGAGCAGGTTTTATTGTTCTGTATTTTTTTTGTTGTTGTTGTTATTATTTCTTGTTTCATTTCCGTGTGAAATGAAACAAATGTAATATTGCATAGACAACCATTACTAGAGCGACGTAGAAGTTTTCATCGCAATAAAGTTAAAGTTGTGTACAAAGAACAAAAATACAGGAGAGCATGGAACACATCATCTCTCAGGAGTTTTCTATGATTATCTTTGTATCCTAACCAAAAAATATCATCATTTATTGTATCTTAATTTTGTTGTTGGTATGTGACTTGATGTATTTTGTTTATCTTTGTATTGAAACAGGGCCCCACTGAAAATGAGTGTTACCACTGAGTGGGTTACCCTGGGTAAAACTGACGGAAGATGAAATAAATAGTCAATCAATCAATCAATTGGTTTATTTGTGAAAACAAACAAGAACTTGTACCCGTTGGCTAAATTGTGTCTTGCTGTACAATATGATTTCTTAAAATTTCTGGCATAACAACTTAAAATAAATAAAATCTATATCATTATAAATTAATTACCTAAAAATAACTGTTTAAAGTTCAACATTAAAACAAACAATTACAGACATATATGAAATACTAACATTTACAGTAATATACAAGGTAAGAACAAGACTGGTAGTCCTTTCTGTAATAAAAAAAATAATATTAATGTTAAAAGTTGGGCAGTAGATCTAGAAAATAAAAATAAATAGTCCTTTCTGTAATAAAAAAAAATAATAGGGCCGGGAAATTGAGTTCGCAGAAGAAAAATTTCTTCAAGCTTCTTAACAAGAGATCGGCCCACCCCCGGCCGCTGCTTCGTTTCCAGAGTCTATTTATAAAGCTGATAATCTGATAGACTTCCAACGTGCAGCTTTGGCTGGTGATTCTAGTTATAAATCAGCCAACACGTTCACTGCCGTGGGTTTCCACGACCAGAGTCTATTGGGAGAACATTATTCTACATTGATTTGCTTTGGAAGCGGTTTTTTACACTCTTTGCAGAACAGATTATCAATACGAAAAAACGACTGGTTCTGTTGGACACGTAGGCAATACCGGTACCATTTTCCCGCCATTTTGTCTTGTGACAGAATTCGCGCCAAAGTTTCCCGCCATTTTTTCTTGTGACAGAATTCGCGCCAAAGTTTCCCGCCATTTTTCTTATGACAGAATCTGTACGAACCTTTCCCACCTCAGTCTATTGGGAGACCTCTAGTCTATATTGATTCGCTTTGAAAGTGTGTTAAACTCTTTGCAGCTTCTATGTGTTCTTTTTTCACGACATGGGTGTAACCATGATCTGAACTGGGAATTGAGAAAAGACCTGGTGAATTTTATGATTATGCCTTATGATTTTGACTATTTGTTTTGGTTGACATGTCTGGTTTCCAATGATTTACTACTTGTACCCTTTGTTCATATTATTTATTATCTCTCTGTTTAATTATTTGATTGTCTATGTCCTTTGTAACTTGTTCTGTTGGGCTACCTTGGAAATCAGTTGTTCTAAACTGAAGATACTACCAAACTATTTTCAAGATCAACAAATAAATGAATAAAACTGAGGGCTTGCGCAACGGTTGAAATAAATTCCTTCTTACAAGTATTTCAGGAGATTCCACACTAAGTTGTATTAGTTTGCTTTTATTCCAACTTCGTCTGCCGTTACTTCGTTTCGTTTCTATTTATATTTCTGATAATCTGATGGACTTCCAACCTGCGTCTTTTGGCTGGAGATTCCAACAATAAATCAACATGTTCGCTACCGTGCCTTTACAGAACCGCAGTCCATTGGGAGAACTCGCTTCCGATGCTTTTCTTTGATCTTGACTATTGCTGCCATAAGGTCTTAGGAAGGGGAGTCTAAGATGAATCGGTCTGGGACCGAAAAACGTCTTATCACGGGCGCTATCTTCAAGGGAATCTGGCGCAAGCCATACTTTTTGCTTCGCCACGGCAATTTCTGAAGGAAAGCCGCCAAAATGTAGTTTGGTTTATTGAACCATGTTTCTAAAGTATGTTGACAGCCCAAGGTTTGAACTCTACAGCTTAAATTGTGCACAATAAAGATCGGTTTATCCAAAATTTATATAAATCTAATTATTACCATATTATTACAAGGACGAAGAAACTTGCTTTTCAGATCAACAGTACGTAATGTAGTAAGCAAAGGTACTAAGACGTTAGCCTCCACCAGGCCTTTCTACGGGAATACTGATCGTAGAATTCGGCAAAAAAAGAGAGTAACATTGGCCAAGGGAGTCCGGCTGCGGGGAGGTAGTTTCTTTCCCTCCGAACTGCGCGGCCAGTCAAATCTACAAGGCGGCCAAACTCCCCTGACAAATATTCTCCTAGATCTATATATAGCCAGCGTAGTTAGTCTGGTAGAGACTAAGTACTACGAAGTATCAGTCAGGTAC